GCCCCTCCCCACCCCAGCACCGTTCCTCAGCCTCAGCCTTCCGTTTGGACCCCAGCTCCCGCATCGGGCTGGGGGGAGGTGCCGGGGGAGGAAGGTGTTGGGGAAGCCAGGGAAGAGGGCCCCACTTGATTTCTACCCAGCCCTAAGTGGGAGGTGATTTACTTACTCTCGCTCACCCGTGCCAAGGATTTATGAAGGGTTGAAAACTGTGCCAGGGGTCTCTGCGGATCGGTGTGGGGGCCTGGAACCCACCCCTCCACAGCAAGAATGGAGAAAAAAAGTCGTAGTGGGGATTTTTCTGGTCTGAGTCTTTCGGCTTGACTGGCTTCATGCAGCCTTTATTGTTGGGTTTTGTTTTCTTTTGTTTTGTCTGTCAACCAGTCACGGTGTGCTAAACGTCACCAAAGAGGGGTCAGCAGGAACAGTGGGGTGAGAGGGCGGGTGTCTGTCTGCAGGGAGCTCCCCTTCCTGGCACTGTATTCCGCACCCGCCTTCAGAGGGATTGGCATTTGATTTAGGGTTGACCATGGGGAGGTGGACGCGTTGGCCGAGCTACTGGGGTGGCTTGTTGCCAGTGACCAGGGGTGAGGCTCAGGGAACAGCTGGAGCATGACCCCGGCCCCATCCCTGAGGTGGGACCAGCTCAGAGCGGTGTCAGGGCTGTGGAGAAATCTGGCCCCAGGGCTCAGTGCAGAGACCAGAGGAAGGAGGGGAGAAAATGCACCCGCAGAGGCAAACCTGGCTGGCTGGGAAGATGGGGAGCTTTCCCTGTAGGCAGAGTTACCTTGGTCCGTGTTTAGGGGATACAAGCGAAGAGTCAGGACAGCTTCCTGGGACTGAGCCTGGCGGTTCCTCTGGGTCCTCTGTCCATGGAATGTCCCCTCACTTGAGAGACCCACAGAGCAGGGAACATTATAAGTGCTTGAACAGACAAGCAGGTGCATTCCAGGGGCATCCCAGGGCAGGTGCTTCTGGGGGAACTGTCATGGGACAGTGCAGGGTAGGTCACTTCTCCGCTGCAGCTGGGCCACAGGGAACCCCCTGAGTGACCAACCTCAAGTTCAAGGAACCCACCTACCACGGAGGAAATGCTTTCCTTCTGGCCCAAACCTGTAGAGCCTCTCACCCACGACCACTATGAGACTCCCAGGGAACAGTGGGGATGTGATGGGTGAGTAGAGACACTAGAGGAAGCTTTGCATAACAGTTTCTGTGCAAACCCCACACTGAGTTCTGGCAAGCAGGGTAAGGACAGGAGATGGGCCCAGGGACAGCTGTCAAACAGACCAATGATAGCCACTATTGAGCATTAACTTTGTTCCAGGATCAGCATCAATTTTGCCTACTGTCCATACTTCATAGGTATGATCTTGTTTGAGCCCACAACGTTTGGAGAGGATAATCCACATAACCCACAAGGTTATGAGAGCAATGTCTTCCTGCTTACAGATGGAGAAACTATGCTTGAAGACAGTAAGTAGTCAATGGCCATGTAGCTACTAAGTGGAAGTTGACATTCAGAGCCAGGTCGGCTAGGAGAAGCAGTGGGCACAGGAGGAGCAGGAGGGTAGCCCTTTAAGAATACAGGGGGACATCGGGGAATAGAATTGTGGTCTGGAAGAGTGTGCATGGGATGGAATCTGCATCCTGATTAGGACATGGACCCCAAAGATGTCACAGGAAGGCTTGTGACTTGCTTTGGCTGGAGCAGGGCAGGGCACAACTGAACTTACTGCCTCTTGGGCAGCTCTGCCTGCCCCTGACAAGAATGACAAGAAGGAATGTCCCACGGGGAAGCTTGGAGGGTGATGGAGGACATTATTGTCAGGGAGGTCGGGAGATCTTCTGGGTGGGTGAGAATGGAGATTGGGAGGGTGAAAAGCCCGCTGGCCTTGAGAAAGGTCGACTCGGCCCCACATTTCTGCCCTTCAACACCATCTGCTGAGGCCACCGGAGGAAGTACCAGGGTCAAATGGCCTGAACCAGTCAGGGAAATTCCCCCTGGCCCAGGGAGAGCAAGAAACCAGAAGCTGCCAAGCTGTGGGTTCAAGCAACCCTGAGACTTCTGAAGAATCTGGCAAAATAAATATATGCACCTACTCATAGCAACTGGAGTCATTAGACTGGCTTGTGCCTCTCCCTTTATCTTGCTCACAAGGGCTGGGACGAAAGCCCAACACAAAGTCATAAGGGGAGAGGACTTTCCTGAGACTAAGGTCATAGAAGCAAAGAACTAGATCCCTCATTAAGTGGGTTGATGCTTAGGGAGTTGGAAGGGGGCAAAGGAGATCTGGAAGCTGCTTATTTCTTTCTAGAGGTCTGAGTGCAGAAATCCCTGGGGCCAGCCTGGCTGGGAAGTCTGCAATCAGCAGGTAGAGAGGAGAGAGCTGGAGGGAGAGCGCCACCTTCAACTGCCTGCTCCTACCGTGAATGGGAATGAACAAGATGGGTATGGTCCGACCATGACACGAACCCCCCAGAAGGAGCAGGAAGTATGCTCTAGCAACAAGAATTTTGCCCCCAGATGCTGAGAGTCCTTTCTATTACCTTCTATCAATGTATTTTATTTTGGCAGATGGGGGACAGAAATTCTCTGGACTTGGAGTTATTATATGAAAAGTGTGTATGAGTGTGTGTGTGTGTGTGTGTGTGTGTGTGTGAGGGGGCCTAAAAATTTTCAGCCTACCACCCCCACACCAGCGAGCTGATCGAGCAGTTCTGCAATCCTCTGGAAGATGCTGAAATCCAACGTGAGCCTTTCCCCAAACCAGAATGACAAGCTCTTTGTGTACAGGGAAGTTCCCCAGTCTGTCCCCATTCTCCACCCTGCAGACATGACACAGGACACCTGGACAGGTTCTGGCAGGCTCCGAACTCTGTGAGCCTATGTACTGAGGTGAGGGCCAGGCTGGTCAAGATGAAGGAATGTATGTCGGAAGCTGGAACACCCAGCCCAGGAAGCTAGGCTGTCCCAGAAAGGAAGGGATAGAATCCAGCAGTGGGGGAGGGGTTAAATGCAAGAACTCGTGAGCCACTTAGACCTGCGTTCAAAACCTGGCTTTTTCCCCATCGCTTACCGGCCACTGGCCGTTGGTCAACATTACCAACTCTCTGTGGGTTTCTCCGTCTGTGAAATAGGATGATAATACCTACTTCAAAAGGTGACAGTAAGGATTAACCTTTAAAAACACACCTAAGTGAACACCTGTAGGCAAAAACAATAATAACAAAACAACAAAACAAAAAAAATCAAACCCAACGCCAAATCCCAAACCTCACACATTATCCAAAAATTAACTTAGAGTGAATCGTGGGCTTAACTCTGAAATGTATAACTATAACATTTTCAGAAAAAAAAAATAGATGAAAATCTTCTGGACCTAGGGCTAGGCAGAGAGTTATTAGCCTGAACACCAAAAGCACAATCCATGAAGGAAATGTTGACAAATTGGATTTACACAAAATTAAACACTTTCACTCTGTGAAAGATCCTGTGAAGAGGGTGAAAAGTCAAGGTATGGGAGAGAAAACATTTACAAACCAGACATTTGACAAAGTGGTAGCTTTCTAGAATGCGTAAAGAATGACCCCCCTCCCAAACTCAACAGAAATAAAATGACAAGCTATAGAATTAAAAATGAAGGAAAGACATGAACAGACACTTCACTGAAGAGGATAAACAGGTGGCAAATACGTGCATGGAAAGATGTTAGCCTTAAGGAAATGCCAACTGAAACCACAATGAGATGTTACTGCACACCCATGAGATTGGCTAATTTCTTTTTATTAGAGAGAGAGAGAGAGAGAGAGAGAGAGAGAGAGACCCTGGGATCATGACCTGAGCTGAGTCAAGAGTTGGGCATTCAACCAACTGGACCACCCAAGAGCCCCAATTTATTTTTATTTTTATTTTTTATTTTTCTTTTCTTTTTTTTTTGTTTTCTTTTACTTATTTATATTTTCATTTACATCCAAGATAGTTAGCATATAGTGTAACAATGATTTCAGGAGTAGATTCCTTAATGGCCCTTACCCATTTAGCCCAACCCCCGCCCACAACCCCTCCAGTAACCCTCTGCTTGTTCTCCATAGTTAAGAGTCTCTTATGTTTTGGCCCCCTCCCTGTTTTTATATTATTTTTGCTTCCCTTCCCTTGTGTTCATCTGTTCTGTGTCTTAAAATCCTCATACGAGTGAAGTCATATAATATTTGTCTTTCTCTGACTGACTAATTTCGTTTAGCATAATACCCACTAGTTCCATCCACATACTTGCAAATGGCAAGATTTCATTCTTTTTGATTGCCAAATAGTACGCCATTGTGTGTATGTGTGTGTGTGTATACATATATACATATACATATACACATACGTACATATATATATGTACATATATATATATACATATATATATGTATACACACACACACACACACAGCATCTTCTTTATCCATTCATCTGTCAATGGACATTTGAGCTCTTTCCATACTTTGCTATTGTCAATAGTGCTGCTATAAACATTGGGGTGCACGTGCCCCTTTGAAACAGCATACTTGTAGCCCTTGGATAAATACCTAGTAGTGCAATTGCAATAGGGTAGTTCTATTTTTAATTTTTTGAGGAACCTCCATACTGTTTTCCAGAGTGGCTGCACCAGTTTGCATTCCCACCAGCAGTGCCAGAGAGATCCTCCTTCTCTGCATCCTCGCCAACATCTGTTGTTGCCTGAGTTGTTGATGTTAGCCATTCTGACAGGTGTGAGGTGGTATCTCATTGTGGTTTTGATTTGTATTTCCCTGATGATGAGTGATGTGGAGCATATTTTCATGTGTCACTTGGCCATCTGGATGTCTTCTTTGGAGAAGCGTCTATTCATGTCTTTTGCCTATTTCTTCACTGGATTATTTGGTTTTTGGGTGTTGAGTTTGATAAGTTCCTTATAGATTTTGGATACTAACCCTTTATCTGATATGTTGTTTGCAAATATCTTCTCCCATTCTGTCGGTTGCCTTTTAGTTTTGCTGATTGTTTCCTTTGCTGTGCAGAAGCTTTTCATTTTGATGAGT